ACATAAAATAAATGCATAAAGCTATTAAAAATATGATGAAAGTTCATTCTGTTAACTAGTATTCACTGAGGCCCTTATTTGCCTTATACATTTGGATAGAGTTTTAAAAAGAGTGAAACCAGCTGGTCTTGGTGGCTCAGCCTGTAATCCTGTGCTTTGGGAGGCTGAGGTGAGTGGATTACCTGAGCCCGCATGTTTGAAACGCGCCTGGGCAACTTGGTGAGACCTCATCTCTACAATACATCAGAAAATCACCTGGGCGTGGTAGCGCATGCCTGTAATTCCGGCGGAAGGCTGAGACAGAAGGATCATGGGAGCCCAGCAGGTCGAGGCTGCAGTGGCTGGGAACAGCCACTGCCCTCTAGTCTGGGAGACAGTGAGACTCTTAAAAAAAAACAAAAAAAAACCAAAGAGTGAGACCAACCTTATACAGGCTTCTTGAAGGGAAATCGGCAGTTTGATAAAAATTAGAGTTGTACACAGAAAATGTACATGAAAGGCTATTTAACTTATATATGCTATTATTTAACACAGACATGATAAAAACAAATTGTACTGTATTCATAATGGGATACATTTTTGTTGCAAATGAAGATGTGATGTAAGTATTTTTCTAAACTGGATTCCCACAACTGTCTGAATTAAGAAAAAAAGTTCTAGTAGAAGGATTTGTACCACAGTGATAACAGTTGTTCATTTTAAGATTAAGAATGATTTTTACTTTCTCTTTTCTGTTTCTAAAGTTTTTGTAATGTACATTACTTAATTTTTATTTAGGAAGATAAATAATTTTTGTTTAAATAGTACCGAGCTACTGTTTATCATTGTTTGTTGGAACAAATGAAAGTGAGAGCACTGCCTCTCTAATCGTGAATTTTACTACTTAGAGAATTTGACACTGTTTAGCCCTGAGATCTGGGGAACCTCACCAGTAGGTAGTATGGTTGGATAGTGACCATGGACCATGGCTGAGTTTTATATCTGGTAGTATTGGTATAGAATTTTAATGGCAGAGAAGGTACTTTAAAATTGCAGAATAGCCGGGCTCAGTGGCTCAGCCTGTAATCCGCGCCTTGGGAGGCTGAGGTGAGTGGATTGCCTGAGCCCGTGGGTTCGAGACCCGCCTGGGCAACTTGGTGAGACCTCATCTCTACAATAAATAAAAAAATTAGCCAAGTGTGGTAGCGCACACCTGTAGTTCCAGCTACTTGGAAGGCTGAGGCAGAAGGATCACCGGAGCCCAGCAGATCGCGGCTGTGGTGGCCGGGAGCGGACACTGCACTCCAGTCTGGGCGACGGAGTGAGACTCCAACTCAAAAAAATAAAATAATAAAATAAAATTGCAGAATAAAATTCTGTCTGTTTTCATTTCCTGTTTTTGGAGGGTTATATTTTCAGATTCTTTACAAATGAGACTTTTGGTCTAAAATGCTTACTTTTATGTTATTGCTGACTCAACTTTTAAATCTGTGAAATCAAAATATTCCCATTTGCTTCTTACCAACTTGCTATAAAGCATAACTAATTCAAACTGTATACATTTTCATTTTTTCCACTTAGTTTCCAAACTTTCTAGTTTAGGGGTTTAGGGTTGTATGTGTAGTTTAGGGTATATGTGTAGCAATTTTTAAACTATTGTAGCATAGATATATAATAGCTTTTTTCTGCTACCCAATTAGAAGAGAGAGGTCATTTGTTTGTTTTGCTCAGTTCCTTTCACATAGAGATACTTAATTTGACCTTATTTCAGTTGGACATTTTGTTGTTGTTTAATTATAAAGTAACTTAGGAGGGATGGAAGGGTAAAGTAAAGCTAGCCAGAGGTGAGTGATGGCAAAGTGATAAATGCTAGATAAAGGACTAATAGAGGATGAAAAGGGTAGTTCCAAAGAAGAAGACAGATAAAGAAGCCACAATACTGATAGGTTTGATATGGTCTCCTGGAAGAAAATGAGTGGAATCTATCTTAACTCCTCTAATACCTTTCATGGAGATAGTAGCTTTCATTTTGGAAAGCACAGGCACTTAATCCACATTCATGGTTTATACTTGTGTAGTCCCAAATACAGGCTCCCCTTCCCCCCATAGAGCACTAATCCTTTTTCCCCCTAGAAGCTTTGCCAGGATTGTTGTTTACTTAATTGTCTTTTAGATGCATTGGGGAGTTAGGTATTTATATGGTTTATTGTACATAAGTGCTATTGAACTTACTGTTTGAAGTTGGCATTTCTTTTTTGTTCTGTTGTAGTTATGTTTCTTAGAATCTGATTCATATTCTTTTCCGTATATTATTAGAAATATTGAAAAATGTGTTAACACAGTTTGTGTTTTATATAGGCAAATGGTATATTCATTGCCTTTTCTGAACTACTGAATTTTGTGGAATTCTGTTTTATAAAATTGATAGGCAAAAAAATAACTGATAAAATTTATAGGTAGAAGCTTCCATGAAATTAATCCCTTTTAGTTATTTCAGTCAATGAACTTGTTATATTTCTACATTAATAATCTTTAAGTTTTTATAGTAGGAATTTACTACTTTTAAGATTTCCAAGTCAAGTTTATTTCCATAATTAACATATATTCATCTGTGAAGTTAATTTTTCAAAAGCAACATGTTATATCTCATTTAAGAAATTGAACACTCAAGAATTGAACAATAGTTGACTGGTTTTTTTTGTGTTTACTACTTCACATTCCAATTTCTGCTTAGCTTTGGTGTCTTGTAATCTGGTTTGGTCAATCTAGTCTCTCCACTAAACACCCCACTATTTCATTCTGTAAACATGTATTGAATATGTACAATATATACCTTGTTTTATAATGGGAATATGAAACACTGTGGTGATACTATAACTGTGATGATACAATCTTTTACCTTAAGCAAAGTCTTAAAGAACAATCAAACCATAGCACAGTGACTTTCAGACTTTTTTTTGGACAGATAAAATTATGGCTAGTTTTGTTGTTAGTGATGTTTTCCAAAACGGCAAGCAACTTTTAAAAAATAAGATGACAAACAAAATAACATGTTGCCTGGATTTATAAGATAGCTGTCTTCCTGGAAAAGTCTGTATATATTTTAAAATCCTGCACTTCCTCCTTTTGCTTTGTTTTTATCAGTAAGTGGTTGGGCTCAGATAAGTATAAACATTTTTCACCTGCATGCCTATTCAGCATTACAGTCTACAGTTGAGTGGGATGTATGTCAGTTCTTTCTTAGCAGAACTAGTTTTTCAAATTGAAGATAGAGAGCATTCCAGGCTTCTCCCATCAAGATGACAAAAGATGCCACTGCAAAATTCCATAATGCCTTATAGAGAATAGTTCAGACTCAGTGAGAATCAGTGGGCCTACAGCATTGTGTCCGAAGTAGAGACTTGCTCCAGAGAGGTAGTCAGGGAAGATACTAACCTTACTACCGGGGAGTACATACTCTGAATTGTTATATCCAGATTATTTTTCCAAAAAGAATTTTACTATGTTGTACTTATATTCCAAGGGATGGCAGCACTGTAACATTTTTCCGTGCTATGTAGTAAAAAGTCTAAACTTCTCAGGTTATTTATTATTTATGTTCCTTGATGATCGAAACATATACTTTTCCAGTTCTCACCTTTGTCAAGAACTGTGAAAGCTTTGAGATTTTACCCTTCTTGCAGCCTAACATGTGAGCCTGTGGATCCTGGCAGAGGACACTGGTTTCTAAGTTAGGTTCAAGAACAGTTTAGACTTATAGTAATAGCCAAAACATCATTTTTCTTGTGCTATTTTCTTAGGTCCCAGTTCCCACAGATCAGGTGACACCTGTATAAGCAGTCTGCTGTATTTCAGGAGAAAACCCTGAACATTCCCTGGAATCTCAGCCAGCTTGTTCCTTTAATTTGCCCTTTCCATTCTGTGCTCAAACTTCTCTATATCATCCTAATTTTGTAAGATTCCATATCAAACAGATGTTTTCTTTCACACCCCTCATTGTAGACTTGTCTTTGAATGGGTTAGAACCCTTCCACGATGTTCCTCCTATCTCTGGATACTCCAGTGACCCATATTTTTTTGGATAGTAGCTTCAGTGTGTTTTTTTTCTGTGCACGATTTTTTTTTTTTAAACTTTGTGCACCTTTCCTATTGTCTTCCCTGCCATATTGTGCTTTGCTCAGTATCTTAAAGTCTGTTCAAACAGTGCCTGCCTGCAGAGATTTACACTATTTTTTCTCTCACAGAACTCTTTAGGACAATGTATTGGGATGTGTTCAGTTGCAAGGAATGGATAACCCATCCCATAATGGATATAATGGGTAGAGATGTGTTTGTTTTGTTTTGTTTTGTTTTCATGTAAACAGTGTGGAGATAGATAATTGCTGGAGTTGATTCAGCGTTTTAGCAATTCTCTCTTGTAAGCCCTTTCAATATGCTGTACCATCTGTATTTCTTTTTTTCTATATCTGCAATTCCAAATTATAGCCATCCTTTAAATTACAAAGTTTTTAATAGAGTCTTTCCTAACTCCCCAGGTGAAAATACTCATCCTTTATGTTCTCATAGGCAGCACTAAACTAGAAAATGGCTTTTATCACTAAATTATATATATGTGTGTCTTTTCCTCCCTTCTAGACTGTGCATTCCACATCTGTGATGTAACTTTTGTTACCCCCTGTAAAGTGCCTTGTTTAAGGTAGACACAGTTGGTTTGCGAGTTGAATGAATAATGCAAAAATGAATGAATTGTCTTCCCTTTAAGAAAACCCTGTCACTGAGAGTTATAGAGCTTAGGAAGGGATTTGTTGGCAGAGAGTAGATGTGGAAGTATGAGTTTTAAGTAGGAAACTTAATTGTGGGAGTTATATGCATGTATTGTTGAAAGGAATATTTGTATTGTATAAACTAATTTCTGAATGCACAGATATTTCTTTAATGCCATCAAAATATATTTTCATGTTCTATCAAAACATCCTGCTAATTGCATGTGGAAATAAAACCAAAACTATTTTTTATTTTAGTGCTTAGATGAGTATGAAGATGACGAAGCAGGACAGAAAGAGCGGAAACGAGAAGATGCAATCACACAGCAGAACACGATGCAGAATGAAGCTGCAAGCTTATTAGACCCAGGCAGTTCCTATCTACTACAGGTATTCCAAAATACCAGGAAGTCACTTTCTATTTTAGTGACAATTTAATAGTTACTGTTAATAATGTTTCTAGTCATTTTGGTAGCACCAGCTTTTATTTTTTGAGGGATTTAGCCACTGTTTTCCTTGTATCCAAATAATTTTTGACTTAGGCAGTGTTTGGTTTTTAGTTCTTGATCAGTGAGTATTTGCTGACTGTCTGATTAAGCAGGCTTAAGCAATATCAACTGTAAAAATAACCAAGAAAAATGATTACCTTCTTAGGAATTTGTAAGTTAAAGTGAGTGGCCAATTCTGCTCCAGGCTATTTCCATTAGAATTACATAGCAAATAAGAAGTGGAACAGGAAGTTTCTCCAAAGTAGCATATGAAACATTATAATAAAATGTAATTTGTAGTATTGTGAATTGCCAGAAACACTTGTTTCTGTGTAATTATAAAATACTTTTAAAAATAAAATTTAACTCAGTTTCAAATTAGCTATTATTTTGGGCTCTCGTGGCACAGAAAATTGGGAGTTGATCATGTAAGAATGCCTCCATGTAAAGCATATACTGTACAGCATGGGTCCCCAGTCCTTATGACCCTTAGGAACCAGGCCGTGCAGTTGGAGGTGAGCAGCGGGCAAGCAAGAAGCTTCATGAATCTGCAAACAGTTGATGTATTACAGTTTATTCTTGATTTATTATGGTCTCTGTGTAGTGAAACCTCACTGCTAATGCTAATCTGTATTTGCAGCCACTCCCCATTGCTCACATGACCGTCTGAGCTCAGCCTCCTTTCAGATCAGCGGTGGCATTCGATTCTCATAGGAGCACGAACCCTGTTGTGAACTGGGCATGCACGGGATCTAGGATGCTTGTTCCTTATTAGAATCTAATGCCTGATGAGCTGAGGTGGTGATGCTAGCGCTGGGGAGTGACTGCAAATACAGATTGACATTAGCAGTGAGGTTTGACTGCACAGAGACCTTAAGTCATTCGCTTGCAAACTCATATCAAAACCCCATCAATGAGTAGCAAGTGAGTGGATGTACTTCAGTTGTACAGCTGCATCTGGTGGCAGGCTTTAAGTCAGAGTCTGACAATTATTTTAGCCTGCATATGGCCTACCTGTTATTTCATTTACCACTTCCATCTACACCTCTTTTTAAAAATTTTATGATGAGTTGTATAATTACTTCACTATATATTACAATATAATACTAGAAATAAAGTGCACAATAAATGTTTTACACTTGAATCATCTTGAAACCATCACCACTTCCCATCCCTCACCCCAATTTGTGGTAAAATTGTCTTCCACGAAACTGGTTCCTGATGCTAAAGAGGTTGGGTACCACTGCTCTACAGAGTATTTTATATGAACTGTAATTTGAGAATGTTCTTGATGTAGGCTAGTCTTAAACAATTTTTGTAGCATTTTAAACTTTAAACTTATTTTTATACATGATCTCAAACCAGGTGAAGTGGGTACCAAAGGGAGGCACAAACTTTACCTGTACAATGACCACTTGTGTACCTAATCTTGAATTGTACCCCACATCTTTAAAATACAATAAAAAATAAAAAATTATTTTAAAAAGGGCATACAGTTACATGGTACAAAATGCAAAAGTCATAAAATATACGTGGTAAAAAGTCTCCTTCGGCAACTTGGGTACCTTCCGTAGAGGTAACTAGTGCTTTCTTTTCTTGTGTATTTTTACAGAACAACTCCAAAAATGAAATTTTAAAAATATTTATATGTCTATATATGTATTCCTTTTTAACCTACTTTTATTAAAAGAGCATTTTAAGCATGTTGTTTTGCATCTTGACCTTTTTAAATTTAATATTGTGGAGAGACTCCAGCATAAAGCTTCCTTAGTATTATTTTTAACCAGTAAAGAATATTTCATTTTATAGAAATATTCTAATGAACTTTTCTTAATGCTCATTTAGGTTCTTTATATTCTTTTTTTGTTATAAACAATCCAGTGGTGAAAAACTGGACATCTGCTTTTTTGCATGTGTGTGTGTAAATCTGTAGGAGAAAATCCTAGTAGTAGAATTGCTGGATAAAAAGGAATGTGCATTTGTAATTCTGGATTTTTTAAAAAAGTATATGTATTGCCTAAATTACTTATTAAAAAGGTTTATTAGTTTACATAATCAGTGGCATTTTGTGAGAAGGCACTTGTGAGTTTTGTGTTTCTCGTCTTTTTATTTCACTTATTTTCATTTTGAAATGATCTCAGCTTACTGAAAAATCGTAAGTACTACATACAGAGAACTTTTTTTCTCCTAAATTGAGAGTAAGTTGCTAATGTGATGCCCCATTACTACTAATACTTTACTCTGTTTTCTAGAAACAAGGTCTTGTATATAAACACAACATAGTGGTTAAAAATAGGAAATTAGAGCCGGGCTCGGTGGCTCAGCCTATAATCCCGCGCCTTTGGGAGGCTGAGTTGAGTGGATTGCCTGAGCCCGTGGGTTCGAGACCCACCTGGGAAGGGAGACCTCATCTTTACAATAAATAAAAAATCAGCTGGGCGTGGTAGCGCATGCCTGTAATTCCGGCTACTTGGAAGGCTGAAGTGGAAGGATTGCCGGAGCCCAGCAGGTCGAGGCTGCGGTGGCCAAGAGCAGCCACTGCACTCTGGTCTGGGCGACAGTGAGACTCCAACTCAAAAAAAAAAAAGGAAATTAAAATTGACACATTATTACCATCTAGTATGCAGACTCATTAAGTTTCACTATTTTGTATTTAGTTTTACTTAGCGGTTGTTCCCGTCATGTCACTCCCCCCCCCCCCCCCCACCCTATTCCCCTGGCAGTTTCTCACTCCTGCCAATCCTTTTCTTATAGTATTATGATAGTTGTTCAAGGTCTGCTTATGAGTGAGAATATATGACATTCTGTTCTTTGTTTCTGTGATAGATCACTGAGTATGGTAGACTCTAAATCCATCCAGTGTGGAAGCGTGGAAGCGTTCCTTTTTCTCCTCATCTTCACTAGCATCTGTTGTTGTTTGTTTTATTTTTTTTGAGTTGGAGTCTCACTCTGTCACTCAGACTGGAGTACAGTGGCCGCTCCTGGCCACCGCAGCCTCTACCTGCTGGGGCTCTGGTGATCCTTCCGCCTCAGCCTTCCAATTACAGGCGCACGCTACCACACCCGGCTAATTTTTTAATTTATTGTAGAGATGAGGTCTCACCAAGTTGCCCAGGCGGGTCTCGAACCCGCGGGCTCAGGCAATCCATGTTTTATTAATGATGGGCATTCTTACTGGGGTTAGGTGATATCTCGGCGTGGTTTTGATTCTCATTGCTTTGATGATTAGTGAGGCTAAGCACTTTTTCATGTGTCTGTTGGCTGCCTGGTTATGTCTTTGATCCATTTAGAGTTGGTTTTTGTGTATGGTGATAGGTGGGGGTCCTGTTTCAATCTTCTGCATGGGGTCAACCAGTTTTCCCAGCACCATTTACTGAATAGGCTCTCCCCTCCCCAGTGGTTTTTGATGGATACTTTGTCAAAGATGAGTTGGTTGAAAACCTGAGGTTTTGCTTCATGAATCTCTATCCTGTTCCATTGGTCCATATGCCTATTCTTGTACCAATTCCGGACTCTTGATTATTGTAGCCTTATTGTAAAGTTTTAAAAGTCTGGAAGTGTTATACCTCCCGCTTTGTTTCTTTGGCTGAGGATTGTTTTGGCTATTCGTGGTCATTTATGTTTCCATATGAATTTCTATATTGTCATTTCCAGGTGTGAGAAGAATAATGTTGGTAATTTAATGGGTATTGAGTTGAATTTGTAGATTACCTTTGGTAGGGTGGACATCTTAGCGGTGTTGATTCTTCCTATCCATGAGCATGGAATATTTTCCATTTGTTTGTGTCTTCTTGGATTTCTTTGAGCAGTGTTTTGTAGTTTTCATTGTAAAGGTCTTTCACTTCTCTGGTTAGGAAGATGCCAAGGAAATTCTTTTTTTGTGTGGCTATCGTAAATGGGATTGTGCTTTTTATTTTGTTCTCTGCTTGCATATTGTTGATGTATAAGAATGAAACTTTCTTTTGCATGTTTATTTTGTACCCCCAAGACTTTGCAAAGTCCTTTATCAGGGAAAGCAGGTTTTTGACAGATTCTCTTGGATTTTCGCGGTGTAGGATTATATCATCAGCAAAGAGGGATAACTTAATTGCCTCCTTTCCTATTTGGATACCCCTGATTTCCTTCTCTTGTCCAATTACTATTGCTAGGATTTCCAACGCAATGTTAGACAGGAGGGGTGAGAGTGGGCATCCTTGTCTTGTTCTGATTTTCAGGATTGTTAGTGGGGTATTAACGTCCCCAGCTATAGTAGTGTTAGAGTCAATATCTTTATTTTGTTTACTTAGTAGTTGCTTTATAAATGCTAGTGCTTCTGTGTTTGGGTGCATATATGTTTAGGATGGATATTTCTTGCTGATGGATTGAACCTTTTATCATTATGTAGTATCCTTCTGTATCTTTAAAAATTTTTTTGATAGCTTAAAGGTTGTTTTGACTGATACTAAGATTGGAACTCCTATCTTCTTTTGCGATCAACATGCCTGGAAACTCAGCATCTTCTTACTTTGAGTCTGTGTGCATCCCTTGTAGTGAGATGAGTTTCCTGGATTCAGAAAATTATTGGGTCATGGTTTATTATCCAGCTTGCCATTCTGTCTTTTCAATGGTGCATTTAGTCCCTTCATGTTCACGCTGATTATTGAAATGTGATTGTTTATCCCCAATATGAGGTTCCCTGTGAAACTGGTCTAGAAGCTGCATAATCTCTTAGGGGTTGAATGTCTGGGAAGGATTTTAATTCTCCATCACTGATGAAGCTGAACCTGGCTGGAGAGGAAATTCTTGGTTGAAATTGTTTCTCTCTGAGGATTTTGAATATTGCACTTCAGTCCCTTCTAGCTTGAGATGTTTCTGCCAGTGGGTCTGCTACTATTCTGACAGGTTTTCTCCTGTAGGTAGTCT